GTTTTGAAACACGAACTAACATTGTTCAGAACCATTGAGTTTTAAACTATCGCTATGCTTTAAACTTGTATGTATATGTGTACTAGATATGTATTATGAATGTAGATAAGTTTATTAAAGATTGTTTGAATAAAAATTGGATTTAAATAGAATACATATTTTATTTATGATTTGCTAGAATAAAAAAATACGTTGAGTTATCTATACTCAGTTAGATGTGAATACTGGTACTCTGTATGGTATAACCGAGTTGATTCAAATCATTAAGAAAAGTTCAATATATTGAGATGGTGTGCTTTCTACGGGATTTTCCATTGTATATATGTATAACAATCGCTTCATTTGTTGGGAATGACTGGAATGGAGGTTAACCACTTGATAATCCCAAAAAATTACACCAGATCAGATTTCTTATCATATATATCTGAAGGATTTTTAATATGCGGGCATTCCGATATTTTGAATTTGAAGTTGTTGATGTTTCGTTTATATATTTTGAAAAACCAAAATCCACGATTAAACATTCTTCTTTCATGAACTAAGACATTTTTAGAATGCTATAAAAAAAGTATAAAATTAATTGGTTTCCTGAGTGTATAAATACAATATAAATCATGAAATCTACTTACAAGATCATGATGAATAATGTTTTTAGAATGTATGTATCAAAGGCCACGTGTTATTTTTTTGGTCATGCGAATTTTATCCGTCCACTCTCTTTAAAAAATTATTTCTCAAATACTCGCGTAAGTCTACATTATTGGCCTACTTTAAGACTAAATTGTAACGTCCATTATGAGAATCTAATTTTTAAAGTATTATTATTAGAAAAATCAAGATTAAACAAAAAAAAAAAAGTTTATACTAACTTCCATATTATCTAGAACCAACTTAGACCACCGATTTTCGCGATTGATTTTATATTTTCTTTCTATTCCTAAGAGGGTTCTATATTTAATATAATGTTTATTCAAGCTTCTTTAATTACTTTTTTATCCCTCTTAAAATATAAAGTGGGTAAATCGTTAGTGACTAAAACAAAGTATACATCAGAAATAATAGAAAAACAGAATAGAATCAGACTTTAAGGATGAAATTATCAATTGGTTGAGCTGTAAGACTCAGGACCATATTGAGATCAAAAGGGAGATTCAGTATGTAGAGCTGTAAGACTCTGAACCATACTTCATCTAATGGTAAAGTACTATACAAAATATGGTAGAGCTGCAAGACTCTGAACCATATACTATATAAAGTAAGAAAGGCTGAGGTGTAAAAGGGAGACAGTAGGTAGAGCTGTAAGGCTCTGAACCATACTTTATCTAATAGTAAAGTACTGTACAAAAGACAATTAAGTTGGTAGAGCTGTAAGACTCTGGACCATACTCTTATCTAAATGTAAAGTACAAAAAGGACAGTTCGGTTGGTAGAGTTGTAAGACTCTGGACCATACACAAAAAGGACAGTTCGGTTGGCAAAAGATAAAGTTCATCATCTTCTATGTAGAAACGATT